AATGGGATGGATTCAAATTAAAAAGTTTTTTTTCTCAGCAAAAGAAATAATCTGTGAGGTGAACAGGAAGCCTACATCCTGGGAACAAATTTTTACCCCTCACACATCAGACAGAGCTCTAATCTCTAGGGTAAATAAGGAGCTCAACAAGACAAGCACAAAAATAATAATAATAATCCAATCAATAAATGGGCCAAGGACCTGAACAGACACTTCTCAGAAGAGGATATACAATCAATCAACAATATACAAAAAATGCTTATCATCTCTAGCAACCAAAGAAATGCAAATCAAAACTACTCTAAGATACCATCTCACCCCAGTAAGAATGGCAGCCATTATGAAGACAAACAACAAGTATTGGCGAGGATACGGGGAAAAGGTACATTGATACACTGCTGGTGGGACTGCAAATTAGTGCAGCCAATTTGGAAAGCAGTATGAAGATTCCTTGGAAAGCTGGGAATGGAACCACCATTTGACCCAGCTATTTCTCTTCTTGGACTATACCCAAAGGACCTAAAAACAGCATACTATAGGGACACAGCCATATCAATATTTATAGCAGTACAATTCACAAGAGCTAAACTGTGGAGCCAACCTAGATGTCCTTCAGTGGATGAATGGATAAAAAAAATGTGACATTTATACACAATGGAATACTACTCAGCACTAAAAAATAATAAGATCATGGCATATGTAGGGAAATGGATGGCATTAGAGAATATTATGCTAAGTGAAGTTAGCCAAACCCAAAAAAACAAATGCCGAATGTCTTCTCTGATATAAGGGGGGGTGACTCAAAATGGGGGAGGGAGGGAGAGCATGGGAGGTGCCAAATGCCAATGTCTCGGCTTGGCACAGAATCACGAGCCACCACACAGCTTTGTAGGTTCACATAGCAGTTCTTTATTCCCCATCTCACACCGCCTCCACACAGGTTCAGGGGCAATCCCAATCCCCCCGCCCCAACAATTCACGTCCTAAATACTTTCTCTCCATGAGAACTCAGCGGGAACTCAGGCAGCAGGCACGCCCTACTCCCAGCAGGAATAATCTTCAACCTCCAACTTCCCTAAAACTCCTATTGTCACGCCCTAAACCCAAGGACGGGGATACTTCCTGTAGGATATACCCTAATCCTGGATCCACCCTGGTCATTGAGCAGGGTCATCTTTCTCAAATACACAAGCAAGGTCAACAGCAAAATCCATTTAACGTGGGGTATGCTGGCAAGGAAATTTTGAAGCATCATTCCTACTTGACAATGGCCCTCAGCAGGAGGAAGATTACCTCTAGAAAGGGAATAGGGGTGGGAGGGAAAGGGAGGGAGAAGGGGAATAGCAAGGATGGTGGAAGGCGATGGTCATCATTATACAATATACATGTATGAAGATGTGAATTTGGTGTCAACATACCTTATATACAAACAGAGATATGATAAATGGTGGTATAAAGACGTATTAAGAATTATATGCAAAAAAATAAGAGAGCTCATGTATAATGGCATAATTGGGTGTGAACATAATATATAGAGTTACAAAAATTATGCTGTGAATGGATAATTATGAATGTAATGCACTCCACTATTGTCATGTATGTAAGAAATAAATAAAGAAAAAATTAATTCTCAGATATTAAAATCACATGAGAGACATATGATCATTATGCTCTTTCCCTTGATGTTGATTCAGTATTTCTCAGTAAAATTCATGAATCTAAATCTTTAACTTACAACCCCAAGGGATTTTAATGTAAGTGAGAAACAGTGTTCTAGAAACATGAAAAAATAATGTTAAGATTCAGTGTTGGAATATTATTCATATTAAAATAGTTGGCAGATTAAAAAAATAGGCTGGGGATGTGGCTCAATGGTTAAATGTCCCTGGATACAATCCCTGATAGCAATAAGAATAAAAGAATCTGCACCAAACCTCTCCCGACCCCAGTCTAGACACATTTTGCCTTGTGAGAATAAAATTTCAGTGTTGCCAGAAATTTTTGACTTTTGAAGACCAAAATCTGGATTTTTTTTCCCCCTTTGCAGTGTTGGGGATCAAAACCAGGACCTTGTGCATGACATGCAAGTGTTATACTATTGAGTCACATTCCCAGTCCCCAATCTGGATTTAAAAAAAAAATTTTTTTTTTAGTTGTTGATAGACCTTTATCTTATTTATTTATATGTTGCTGAGAATCAAACCCAATGCCTCACACATGCCAGGCAAGTGTGCTACTGCTAAGTGAGAGCCCCAACCCATCCCCAATCTGGATTTTTATATGAATCCATTCAGCTTTAAAATTCTGGCTAAAGCTAGATGTAGTGGTGCACACCTGTAATCCCAGTAACTCGGGAGACTGAGGCAGGAGGAAGATAGCAAGTTCAAGAGTCAACCTTAGCAACTTAGACCCTATCTTAAAAGAAAAATTTTTAAAAGGGTTGTGGGTGTATTTCAGAGGCAGAATGCTTACAAACATTAAAAAAAAAAAAAATACTGTGGTCCAAACAAAACATATCTCTGCCTGTGAGCTGCCACTTTTGAGACCACCAATTTATAGCATTAAATCAATTTGCCTGCTCTTTTAGTCTCTATTTTACCTATTGTAACAAAAGTGCCCTTTTCACACTCTTCAATACGTTTTCATGTACATTTGATCCTGTCCACTATGAAAGGTAATCAGGAGATGAGGAAAAAGGCACAGATAGCTGAAGGTAACTTGTCCAACATCACATAATTAGCATAAACTTAAGCCCAGGTATCCTGATGCTGAGTTCAGCATCAATCCTTGATGATTTCACTCCCTCTTTGTCACTCCCTATGTATGCTTTTGCTTAAGTTTTGTCCTCACCTGAAACAATTTCTTTCTACTAATCCAAATCTCATTATCTTTCAAGACCCATTCAACCTCCATTATCTACATAAAATCTTCTTCTATTAGGTAAAAGTACCAAGTTTTCTCTGCTTTTTCCAAAACTAAGTTATTGTGGGCAATAACTTACAAATGGATACTTATCAATGGCCTTGAACCATCTAATTATTTTTCATAACTCTCCATTAGTCTATAACTACAATTAAATCCTAAATTCCTGGTGCTATTCTTCTTTTCTTTTCTACATAGTTCTCAGTGTTGTGTCAGAACACAAAAATGTATTAAATGTTGGATATTTTAGACAATATTTTGAGGAAAAGAATTATGATGATACTACTAACTTACCAGCCTGATGTTGTCTTCTGGGCGGAGTAATATGAACATTGCTTGGAGATGCTGCTGGAGATCACCTGGTGAAATTTATAATAAAGGATAATTATTCTCCATTCTAGTATCAAGACAAAAGATTCTTCTATCCTATCAAATTGTAAAGGAAAGTTCTGGTTCACTAAAGGATTAATTAGACACAAAAATTAAGTTTGACTATTGATTTTTTTTTAAATGCAGAAAGAATGGTAATCTGCATCTTTATACATTCATTTTTAGTCTATACTACATTAAAATCTGCATTTGACCAATGGAAAGTGCACTTGGACCAATCACAGTTTTGTATAATGTCTGAATGAGAGACCTGCTGGGCAGAGGCAGCTGGCTAAGCTTTCAGGCCCATTGAAGGTAGCACTGAGGGCATTTTGAAAATATGATGTGTGATCTAATGTTCAAAGAATCACCCCTAACTTTTAAACAGCCAATCCTTGTATCATTTCTATTTTTGTATAGTAATCTTCAGCTGTACTTAACCTAAGAAGACTATTAGATTTTCCCTAGAATAATATCAATAGTTAGTGGCTGAGAGTATATATTAAATATAGTATATTAGGAATTTCTATTTTCTTAAACATATCACATGCTTTAAAATTGCCATTATTCCAATCCTTATTTGTTCTTATGCATTTTATAAAACTAAGTTGAAATTTTTTTGTACTATAACAAATTTCCTCATATTCCCCATTATATACTAGGAAATCTGAGGCATTGGCTAACAGAAGACAATTAGACAATGCGCTGTTATATATATGACAATCTAAGAACCAAAAACTTCATACCTGTCCACCCAGGCCCAGCTTTTTCTAAGAATCTAATGTGACTGACACGACCATATAATCAGGGATGCTAATATAACCTGTTCTCACATTAGAAGTGGGAGAATACGTATACAATTTCCATCATGTTAATCTCATAGCTGTTAATTATGGGATGATATGTGCAAAAAGTAGAGAAAGGAAGGAAAAAAGTAGACTAGAAACAGATGTGTTGATCTAGATGGTCACTAAGTCTAAAAGTCTTTCCTGCCTATTCCTTCCCTCAAAGAATAGTTTTCTTGCCTCCCTCCTCAATTTCATAGATGGCTTCTGACCAATTCCATTATTGCAGAATCTATCATCATTTTAAAAAAATATTTATTGTTTAGTTGTAGATAGACACAATCTTTGTTTTATTTATTTTTATGTGGTGTTGAGGCTCGAACCCAGGGCCTTGTACAGTCAAGGTGAGTGCTCTACCGCTGAGCCATAACCCCAGCCTTCTATCAACATTTTTAAAAAATTTTTATTCTAATTTGTTATTATGACAGCAGAATGTATTACAATTCATATTACAGAGCACAATTTTTCATATCTCTGTTTTTCATGGTATCTTCACACCATTCCTGTCTTCATACATATAGTTTAGATAATGATGTCCATCTCATTCCACCATCATTTCTAACCCCATGCCCCCTCCTTTCCTCTCCCACCTCTTTTCCCTATCTTGAGTTCATCTATTTCTACCATGCTCCCCCTCCCAACCCAACTATGAATCAGCCTCCTTATATCAGAGAAAACATTCAGCATTTGGTCTTTTGGGATTGGCTAACTTCACTTAGCATTATATTCTCCAACTCCATCCATTTACCTGCAAATGCCATGATTTTATTCTCTTGTATTGCTGAGTAATATTCCATTGTGTATATATACCACATTCTCTTTATCCATTCATCTACTGAAAGGCATCTAGGTTGGTTCCACAATTTAGCTATTGTGAACTGTGCTGCTATAAATATAAACATTGATGTGGCTGTGTCTCTGTGGTATGCTGTTTTTTAGTCCTTTGGGTATAGACCGAGGAGAGGGATAGCTGGGTCAACTGGTGGTTCCATTCCCAGCTTTCCAAGGAATCTTCATACTGCTTTCCAGATTGGCTGCACCAATTTGTAGTCCCACCAGCAACGTATGGTTTTGCCTTTTCCCCCACATCCTCGCCAACACTTATTGTTGTTTGTGTTCTTAATAGCTGCCATTCTGACTGGAGTGAGATGAAATCTTTGAGTAGTTTTGATTTGCATTTCTCTAATTGCTAGAGATGCTGAACATTTTTTTTCATATATTTGTTGATTGATTGTAATCATCTTCTGAGAAGTTTCTGTTCAGGTCCTTGGCCCATTTACTGATTGGGTTATTCGTTTTTTTGGTATTTAGTTTTTTTGAGTTCTTTATATACTCTAGAGATTAGTGCTCTATCTGATGTGCAAGTGGTAAAAATTTGCTCCCAAGATGTAGGCTCTCTAATCACCTCACTGATTGTTTCTTTTGCTGAGAAGCTTTTTAGTTCAAATCCATCCTACTTATTGATTCTTGATTTTAATTCTTGTGTTATAGGAGTCTTATTAAGGAAGTTGGGGCCTAATCTGACACAATGGAGATTTAGACCTACTTTTTCTTCTAATAGGTGCAGGGTCTCTGGTTTAATTCCTAGGTCCTTGATCCACTTTGAGTTTTGTGCATGGTGAGAGATAGAGGCTTAATTTCATTTTTGTTGCATATGGATTTCCAGTTTTCCCAGCACCGTTTGTTGAAAAGGCTATCTTTTCTCCAATGTATATTTTTGGCGCCTCTTTCTAATACAAGACAACTGTAATTGTGAGGGTAGTCTCTGTGTCCTCTATTCTGTACCACTGGTCTACCGATCTATTTTGGTGCCAATACCATGCTATTTTTGTTACTATTGCCCTGTAGTATAGGTTATGGTCTGGTATAGTGATGCCACCTGCTTCACTCTTCTTGCTAAGGATTTCTTTAGCTATTCTGGGTCTCTTATTTTTCCAGATGAACTTCATGACTGCTTTTCTATCTCTATGAGGAATGTCATTGAGATTTTGATTAGAATTACATTAAATTTGCACAATGCTTTTGGCAGTATGGTCATTTTGACAATATTAATTCTACCTATCCAAGGACAAGGGAGATCTCTTCATCATCTAAGGTCTTCTTTAATTACTTTCTTTAGTGTTCTGTAGTTTTCATTGTAGAGGTCTTTCACCTCTTTAGATTGATTCCCAAGTATTTTATTTTTTGAGGCTATTGTAAATGGGGTAGTTTTCCTTTCAGAGGATTTGTCACTGATATACAGAAAAAAAATGGAACACTTCATGAATTTGCATGCCATCCTTGTGCAGGGGCCATGCTAATCTTCTCTGTATCATTATAATTTTAGTATATGTGCTGCCAATTCGAGCATTTATCAACATTTTTTTTTTTTTTTTTGGTGTGTGGTACTGGGCATTGTAACCAGAGATATTTTTCTACAGAGCTAAATCCCTAGATCTTTTCTTTAAAATTTTTATTCCAACAGTCTTGTCAAGTTGCCCAGGCTAGACTTGAATGTATGATTCTCCTACTTCAGCCTCCTGAATAAGTGGGATCACAGGCATGTGCCACCATGCCTGTTCCATAGTTTTAAAATTGCAAAACAGTATTTATTTATCTTTTTGTGGTACTGGGTATCAAATCTAGGAGCACTTTGCCACTAAGCTACATACATACCTGGCTCTTTTTATTTTTTATTTTGAGACAGGGCTTCCTAAGTTACCTAGGCTAGTCTAGAATTTACAATTCTCCTGCCTCAGCCTCCCTACCCACTGGAATTACAGGGATGCACCACCATACTGTCTGTATTCAGATATTTTAAATGCAATTCTCAGATAAAAAAAAATTCTAACCAGTTGATGAAACATGAATAAAAAATACAATTAGACTATTGATCAGTTCTCTGTTCTGTCACCCTCTTCCAGTTTCTATGAGCTTAGCAAAGGTAGCTTCAATTTATGTAAAGTTATGGCTTTTTGAACTGCCTTTATACTTACACTGCCTCATCTGTTGTGATCTGGATCACAGATCAAGCCCATTCAGCTTGTTTTAAGTCTACTTTCATTTTTTGTTTTTGGGTACCGGGGTTTGAACTCAGGGGCACTTGACCACTGAGCTACATTCCCAGTCTTATTTTGCATTTTATTTAGAGACAGGGTTTCACTGAGTTGCTTAGGGCATCTCTTTTGCTAAGGCTGGCTTTGAACTCTGGATCTTCCTGCCTTAGCCTGCCGAGTTGCTGTGATTATAGGTGTGAGCCACCGCATCTGGCTCTACTTTCATTTTTAGTACGAGGAAAGCTAAGTGAACAATGTCAAGTAGACATAGAGGTGGCAGTTAAGTTGAGTGTGGAAGTTTGACCAAAGAAAAAGTCAAAAAGGGCAGGAACTTTAAAAGCTACTGAGCCTGCTTAAAATTATAAGGCACAGAGCCAGTCTCAGCAAAAGCAAGGTGCTAATAAGCAACTAAGTGAGACCCTGTCTCTAAATAAATTACAAAATAGGGCTGGGGATGTGGCTTAGTGGTTGAGTGCCCATAAGTTCAATCCCTGGTATCCAAAGGGGGAAAAAATTATAAGGCACAGAGCAATTTGCCCAACATCTTAGACAAACTGGATTGAAACCAACATTTGTCTTCTTTTTTACTATAAGTGATAAATTGCCAAACAGAAATATAAAACTCAGCTGGGACTACTTCCTCTGTACATTCAAGCTTTTGGGAAGTGTTTCCTTTCCCCATTCCTCTACCTTCAGCAGTGGGCACTGGGGAAGAAGGTTTTAAAAAGTATAAATGCCAAATAATTTTCAAAAATATTTCTTCTTACTTAAAAAAATATTTCCACTGGTGGAGAGTCCTGGTAGGAAGAAAATACCATCTAACAAAATGGATTAAAATTCTGAGCTGCTACATTTTTAACTATGAAAACCCAAACAAGAAGTAGGACAGTCACTTAAATAGCTGAGCATATCTTGACTAGAGCTAAATTCAACTACTGGCTCAATGGGATCTCATATTTCTGGCTCTTCTCTCTGACCTACACACTCAAAGTTTACAGTCTTCTTTGTTTCCTTCCTAGTAACTGCAATTTCTTCTAATCCTGCAGGTCACAAGTCACCAAAGCTGCACATCTGAAACAATGAGCTACCATCTCTTTGTATAGTATTGAACAAGATTACTGTCCTCAGTTGTCTTTTATTTTCTCCCCAAAATGACACAGAGTTTGTTTGGCAGAAGAGAATAATCAAGCTGGTTATTTTCCTAAACTTTGAATAGCCTACAATGAGAACCCTCTCTCCCTAGGACACACTTTATCTGATTCTTTTTAACACCATAGGTGCATTTGACTTTAGAGAAATCCAACAAAAGGAAATATAATGTATATACTATTGTTGGCAGATATTTAAAAATCAGAGTTCTATACTTATTCCTAGAAACACAATTATCTGATGCCTCCTTGTTTTACCAAAGCCTTGTGAACTAAATTTCTAGCCTTTTATTATGTATACATTCAAGAAGCAGACTCTAGAATTTAAGGATGGCTATTTTAATTTGTGATATAAAAACTCTAGGGACTGGGGATAAAGCTCAGTTGGTAGAATGCTTGCCTTGCAAGCACAAGGCCCTGAGTTCAATTCCCAGCACCACAAAAACAAACAAACAAAAAACCCTTTCATTATAGTATTTTTGTACCTTCTCATTATTGTTCCAACAAACATTTACTGAACATCTACTATATGTGTAAGGCACTTTGGTTAAGTGTTACAAAAATGGGCTGTGAGAGTGAAAAAGTGATTAAAGAACAGAATAAAAATTTTTTTTTTCATTATTAAGGAATTGTTGGAAAAATGGGGATGAGCCTTTTAAAATAAAACAAAAGGCAAGGTAACAAAAAGGACTGGTATGTGTGTAGCTTTACCTGCATGTTTGTTCCGTCTGTGGCTGATTCTTGGTGTGGATGAGCCATTTCCCCGCGGTAGAAAAAGGGCAGCACCTTTGACAGTTAAAAAGCTCTCACTGATGCTGTAAAGAAAAAAAATCAAGAGAAAATAAATTACTTAATAAATTAAAGAGGATGGAGACACACTTTAGGATTATTCTCTTATTTCACATTAATAGAATAAACAACTCTTTCAGTGTTACCCACAGAATCTGCAAAGGGTAGAACTTTTAATTCACCAATGGCAAAATTTAGAAACACATAATAGAGGGCTCCAAGTTTGCTTTTGAGTATGGTACTGCTACTCAGGGTTAGCTATTGTATTGTAAATGACACTGCCTATTCAACAGTTCCACCTGGAAATCTAACTGGAATCTTAAATTGCCAAAACTAAACTCTTGTGCTGGGGATGTAGCTTGGCAATAAGGTAATTGATTAGCATGCAGGAGACCCTGGGTTCCACCCCAGCACTGCAAAAACAAAAACAAAACAAAACAAAACTCTCTTAAGAGGGTTTTGTTGGGCCCCTGCCCCAACTGAATTCTAGATTCATCCACCAGTTGTGTGGGGCAAATACATAGTAGTCATCCTTGGTTTCTCTTTTTCCCTCCTATGTATACGTCTAATCCATAAGTAAGTCTATGAACTTTATTTTCAAATATATCTCGAATCTTCCCACTTACCCTATTATCACTGACTCTGGTCCACTGACTGCACCATCATTTCTCACTAGTACTGCTGTAAACCCTCCTCCCCAAGCCTTTTATTACAGAAAAATTCAAACATACATAAAACAGAAAGAATAATAAAATAAACCCCCATATTCCTATTCAGTTTTAATTTATGGCTAATTTTGTTTCTTCTATGTACTCATCCTCCTCACCTTGCCCCTAAAAGGTGAAACAAATCATAGACATTATTTCAGCAAAAGCCTCTTAATAGGTCTGTCTGAAACTATTTATGTTCCCCTCTCCATTATTCACTCACCAATTAGTGATTTTAAAAATATAAAATCATATAATATCACTTCCCTGCTTAAAACCCTCCAAAGGTTTCCTTTCATACTTAAAAATAAAAAGCCAATCTTTGGCTTGTTCTTTGAAGCCCTTGTCACACCCTATGGCAAGTTCTTTGATCTTACACTATCTCCCCTTCTGTTTACTATGAACTAGTTGAACTGCCTTTTCTGATTCTTTAGTATTCCAGGCCCCTTTCTTAAGACCTTTGTATTTTTTGGAAGATTTTTCTCCTGGTCGGTCTTAGATCCAATATCACCATCTCTCTCCTCTCTCATCCCAATAATAAATACTCTATCCTGTTGCTGTTTCTTTCAGGATATTTCTCAAAAACTAAAATTATATTTATCCACTGGTATCCTTCATTGCTTTATCTCCATATAAGAGAATATAAGCTCTATGAGAGCAAGGACTTGACTTTGCTCCGCACTAGAAATAATACTGGACACACATTAGGTGCTCAAAAGATGTGATGAGGGCTGGGGATATGGCTCAAGCGGTAGCGCACTCGCCTGGCATGCAAGCAGCCTGGGTTCGATCCTCAGCACCACATACCAACAAAGATGTTGTGTCCGCCAAGAACTAAAAAATAAATATTAAAAAAAAATTCTCTCTCTCTCTTAAAAAAAAAAAAAAGATGTGATGAATGAATGAATTCATCTTGGGGCTTTCCCCACAGTTATATCTATTTTGTCTCTTCAGCAGGATTATAATTTAGGATGAGCCTAACAAGTAAATAAAAAGCAATATAGAATTCAATGCATAGGACAGATTAGTGAGCTATAAAATAAATGTATGATGATAAATTAATCGGAAAATGTAAATCATCTGTTCAATGCTGTCAGTTGTTGACTCAATTTTATCCTTTAATAAAGTGGCATGAAACTGATAAAACTTTTCAGGTAACCTGCCAACTCAATTGAAACATATCTTACAAAACAGCAATCTATAGATACCACTTTAAAATAATCTGCATGTTGACTTGGAGGGGCTGCCTTGATTTTTTTGTTTTGTTTTCATCTTTAAATAAAGCATTGCTCTCTTGTGGTCTATTGCACAAGCCTTGTCTCTTGTTATATCGTGGTGTACACATGCTACCCTGCTGTGGGCCACCGTTCCACTCACATTACAGGAACAACCTAAAACAAAATGTCTGAGTGACAGGATGAGTGGGGTATACCACAGACAGGAAATGAAATTCACATTTCTGCCAACACAGCAGCCTTCTGCTTTACTAAATGAAAATATTTTTTAAAATAAAGGCTAAATAATCTACCTATTCACCAGGAAAAAAATAACAGCTTTCAGCACTTTGGTTTTCAGTAAATAAAACCGTTCTCTACATCTAAAAATGAAGTATATTTGTTGAGAGCTTAAAACAGCTGAGCATACTCAGTCATTCCTTTTGTGGGATAGAGGTAGTTTCTCTTTGACAAAGAATAGTTTAAGAATTAACTTCCTGGTTTTGAGAGTTCTGTAATATTGTCCTTACATACTTCCGATGCTTATGCTTTTAAGCATATTTATGTAAACTGTATTTAAATGTGTTCTTTAAAATATATGTAGTGCTTTCAAAACAAGATGAGAGCTGGGGTGGTAGACAAGGGCCCTTGGGTTAATTCAAAGCTGACTAGATTCCAAAAATTATAAAGATAACACCAACAATCACACTCACATAAGAAATAAAGAAAAAGAACTCTCCTACTTGAATTATTTCACAAATCTCAGCACACTTTTCTGACATAACAAAATGCCCAGCAGACACAGCTGAAATAGGAGGCAGTTACTAGGTTTTGATACAAGCTCCCAGAGAACCATGGCATACATCTCTGGATGGTATAATCAGTCATCTTTATTCCATGGCCTCAAATTATGGCCCCTCCGTTATCATAAAGGTGAAAGAATGCTGGTCAAAAGGAGACCAGGAATGAGAGTGTGGCTGATTATTAAATTCCTTTATCATGGGGCTGGAGTTGCGGCTCAACAGTACAGCGCTCATCTAACATGTTCGAGGCCCTGGGTTCGATCCTCAGCACCACATAATGAATGAATGAATGAATGGATGAATGAATAAATAAATAAAAAGCATTGTGTCCATCTGTAATTAAAAAAATATTTTTAAAAAATCCTTTATCGGAGCTGGGGATGTGGCTCAGGCGGTAACGCGCTTGCCTGGCCTGCTCGGGGCACTGGGTTCGATCCTCAGCACCACATAAAAATAAAATAAAGATGTTGTGCCCACCGAAAACTAAAAAATAAATATAAAAAAATCCTTTATCATCATTGAAAAAAGTTGGAAGCTCTATACATACTAACAAAGATAGGATGGAAGCACAGTGGCATGGAAATAAAAATCAAAGTTCACAACTCTCAAAGTTTAGGTAGATCAAATTCAACTTGAAAATGAAATGCTCTGTTTGCAATAAATTTCATCTCAGATACTTCAGTTTAAGGTAAAAGCTTAGCATATCCTGCCAGAATATCCAAAGATTTATTGAAGTAAATATCAAGATTTTCTGAAAGAGCTGCCTGAAGAGAACAACTGATAGAATTGTTCTCTAATTAAAAATCTGTTCTTTACAAGGGAAAGTGAAAACTTATTCACATTTTCTGAATTGACAAGTTCTTTATAGTCTGGCCCAGAAACAAGACTTCTTCAAATAACTCTACAGAGTGATGTGAGCATAGATGCCTAAGTCAAAGATAAACCCCCAAAGACTAAAGAACCCTTATATTAAAGAAGAAACAAGATAAAGAGAATGCTACTTTTATGATATAAAGATGAAAAATGACTAATTGCTTATAGGAAAACAACACTTAGAGGATCACCTTTCTAACAGAATGATATTAAGGTCTTCTGGAGTCTTTATTAGCACATAACTGAAGAATGTCTATTCCTCTCTTTGCCATAAAATCACTTGCTCAACAAGGGGAAAGGCATCTCTGGTTAGATAAGTGAAAAGAGCTAATAATAGTTAACTTGACTAGATGCCTACTGTATGCTAGGCATTGAGTACTTCATTTACCTTCATGATAAACCTATGAAGTAGGTACTATTTTTATTCCTAATTTACATGCAAGAGTCTAAGCAGCTAGGAAGCCTCAGAGCAAAAATTCAAACCAAGACCTGACTTGAAATCACTCGCTTCTTCCTATGTTGCTCTAGCTTTAGGAAACACTTTACTATAGATGAGATACAATGTCCTCCCTACATGGCTTTTTGAAAAAAAAATTAAAAATGGAGTACAGAGTGAGAGAAAAGGACTGAAATCAATTCAGACCTCAACTCTTCTCATTCCTCCCACCCGCCAAAGGTCATAAATAGATTATACTAAGGGGAATGAAGAACATCTGGAATGAGAAATAAATCCAGTTGGGATGGGCAGTTAGGAACTGTATCTCTGCTAGGAATGATAGTAGCATTTTAGTCGCAAAAATGGAAGAAAGAGCACTGTGCTTTTAATATATCTGAGAAGCTTTCTGTATCATTCCCTTATGATCAAAACATTTCCTCAAGTCTTACTATCATTAACTGGTAGTTGCTTCTCAAGCAAAGTGTAAAGGAAAAGGTCAACTCAGAGAAGAAAAACTTAGTTATTGTAACATTGGAATGATCTTTGAGGAATGTAATCAGGGTGATCATCCATGACCAGCAGGAAGGTTAAGGAAGCAAAACAACACACCTGACCAAACTGCTGAAAATCAGAATAGAAAATCTATGTTTTAAATGCATGCAATACATGTGATAGTTTACTATGAGAAGGCAAGTTTCAAAAAGGGAATGTAATACTTTTATCTCAAAGTTAAAATTAAGAAAGTAGATCTCATGTTTATAATGTTTGTAAATGCTGAATTCCCTAGTTTATTTGGTATTCCTGCCTGAAGCCAAAATTTATAGGTAAATTATTTTGTAATACTGACTATACATAATATTATCACACAGAGTTGGTTGGTTGGCATTTATGTTAAATTCAAAGACACATAATCTTTTTTTGCCTTAAAGAATATTGACCTAGATAAACTTTCAAATACATTCCACCTAGCCAACATTTTACTTTCCCTCTCCT